CTGCCCCAGCCGATTCTCTGCAGCCCGAGGAATAGGACGCCTTCACGGGGCGCGGGTCTGACGTCTGCTCTCGGGCCCATCCAACCTTGCGGAGGCCCCGGCGGTGGCAGCAGCCGCGGAGGTGCGATGGGTGGGGTGGGGAGTAAGCTGCGTCGTGGAGAGGGGCTAACTGGCACCGGCTCCTCATTGGGCCACCACCGTGCGAGCCTCTGACGTCTGTTTTGGAGCCCGGCTCTCACGATCAGGACGCTTTCTTTGCTCAGCTATTTAGATGCATTTCTCCATCCCCGCAACAGGCACACATTTTATAGGAAACTGAGGCCTAGGGCCACACAGCTGTTCGGTGTAATTGTTAGAATGTGCAAGTGAGGTGCTGAGGTCTTGCAGCCTGACGCACCTGGGTGTACATCCGCTGGTCCGGCCTTAGTGCCCTCGCAAAGCCTTTGGTGAGATGGGAGATGGTGGTGCCTACTTCCCAGGAATGCTGTGAGGATTGGGTTGGAAAATGCAGGTAAAGAGCCAATGCTATTCTTGTTGTTGCTGTGGGGCCTCTTTTCTGCGGCTAAGGGAGCTAGTGGTACCAGGTCAAATCTGTCGGGTAAATCAAAGCCGACTGGTGCAGAGTGGGCGTCTGCTTCTCACACTGAGACCATCCCTATCTGTCTGTTCTGTCCCCATGCCTACGGAAGGCCGCACACAACCCAACTGTACCAGCACGTGCCCGAGACCCGGTGGCCAATCGTGTACTCGCCCCGCTACAATATAACCTTCATGGGCCTGGAGAAGCTGCATCCCTTTGACGCCGGAAAATGGGGCAAGGTGATCAGCTTTCTAAAAGGTATGGCAGTCCCACCTTGGACCCTACATCTGCTTCCTTTACCTTCCCCCATTGCCTTTCCCTAACACAAGCTTCAGACTCCCCTGACTCCAGCCTCAGCCCTTAGACTGCCTTCCACACATGCTGTGAAAAGGGACTTTCCAACACAAACTTCTAAGCATATGTCCCTGTCTCAAACCTTCCCTGGCTCCCCGTCGCTCTGGACCTAAGTTCTGTGTCTTCTAGAAATCCAGTAAAAGGGAGATTAATGATGGACACAGGAAGCTGAAGTTTAGAGGACTCCAATGTCCATCCATCACAAGCTCAGAGAGTCCAAGAAGAAGAGAACTTTTGCTCCAACTCCATTGGTTACAAATGGAGGAAACTGTGTCCCAGAAAAGTTAGGAAACATGCTCACAGCCACATAGCTACTAAGTAGCAGTTGTCTGAAACTCAGAGTTCCAGGCTCCTACCCTTCATGGCTCATCCCACTGAGCAAGATCAGGCTTGCACTGTTTGAACTGTGGTGTGGAAAATCCAGGCATCACAGTAGGCTAGTGCCAGGATATTGTTGTTCCCTCTGTATCGAGGGTGCTTTCACTGAGGGAAGTAGGAAGTGTTACCGAAATGTTACCTGGTATAGGATGACTCAGTTCTTCTGATCGCACCATGGAGAAAATCTCATTTGTGGGGCTAGCCCAGGGGTCCTCAAACTACGGCCCGCGGGCCACATGCAAATACAAATATTGTATTTGTTCCCATTTTGTTTTTTTACTTCAAAATAAGGTATGTGCAGTGTGCATAGGAATTTGTTCATAGTTTTTTTTTTTTAAACTATAGTCCGGCCCTCCAACGGTCTGAGGGACAGTGAACTGGCCCCCTGTTTAAAAAGTTTGAGGACCCCTGGGCTAGCCCATCTTAAACACTAAGCCCATCTCTCTTTTTAACAAATCCAGAGCAAGCTTGAGGCTCTGAACCTTGCAGAAAATAGAATCAAATTAGAGATTAATAACACTGTTTCTATTGTATTTTTTTTTTTGAAATTTCTGGCTAACTTCTATTTATGGCAAGTGATACTTATTTTCAGTTTGCAGTAGTGACTACAGTGAGTATTCACAGAAAAATATTAACTAGAAAATAATACAAGTTGTGTGCAGCGGTGCAAACTCTGGCAAAGTGAGCAGAGCCAGCCTGCCCTCACCTTGTAGTTCTTTCGCTGTCTGAGTTACTCCTCCCATTTCCCCTTCTTGGGCTCCTGTATCACACAGTAGCCTGACAGAAGTGTTCCTTGTCTCCCTCATCCGGAGCCAACAGTCCTCTTGAGCTCTCTCCTTTCTCCTATGAGGATGTAGGTGGAAAGGAGGCAGGGGCCATATGGTGAAGGGCCTTGGGTGCCTCCAAGAAAAGAGCTGGCCCTTTGCCTGAAGACACTGGGGAGCCATAAAATATCCTGAGGGTGGGTAGGGGGAGTACCTACTGTATGTGGAACTATATGTGAGAAATGTATGTAACTAGTTGGTTTCTGCCAGGGTTGGTTCCTAAGGGTAACACTTTAAAACAGGTCCCCTAGATCTGACCTTGTTTGTCCCTTTAATTTCCCTAGAACCCAGAGAATTATGGGCCTGTTCTCACTGTGCTCTAGAGCAGAGGTCAGCAAACTGCGGCTCGCGAGCCACATGCAGCTTTTTGGCCCCTTGAGTGGGGCTCTTCCACAAAATACCACGTGCGGGTGCGTGTACAGTGTGATTGAAACTTTGTGGCCCATGCGCAGAAGTCAGTTTTCGGCCTAAGCGAGTCTATTTTGAAGAAGTACTGTTGATATTTGGCTCTGTTGACTAATGAGTTTGCCGACCACTGCAGAGCATTTCGTCTCTGGACCTCAGTTTCTTCTTTTGAAAAATGGAGCAAATCTTGTCTGGTGTATGTGAGGGGTGATGAAATAATGCAGTGTTTTCTAAACATTGGTCATTTGCAAACCACTCTTGGGACCTTGCCATCTCTTCATACCACCTGTTCCATTTTTACTTCATATTTTTTATTGACTTAGCCTTCATTTTTAAAAACTTAAATAAACTTGTTTTAAAAGGAAACATATGTCATCTAAATGGGAAAGCTGGTTTCACTTGCTATAAATAGCAAGTCGTGGGAAATATAAACGCGTTGAAAACCAGAGTATAATTCAATTCAGGCTGCTGCTTACTGTTGCTGCAGGTTGTGAGTGCTTTTTTGGCTGTTAAAAGGGGAGATGATCATGGGTCAGGCAGGGATTAAAGAGAGGCCACACCACACTGAGCCTCCCAGGATGCCATCAGAAGTTGGGGGGAGAATTGATCAAAGAACTTTTCTCACCTAGAGGTTCAACATCATTGACCCATGTGTCATCTGCCTCTGAAAGTTTTCCAGACACACTGAGCTCACCTCGTGGCTATCAGTGGCTTGGAAAGGATCTTTGTGTGCACAATGTCTGAAGTCCCCTGGCCTAAGGGCCTGGCCATTGTTCACACTGGCCTGGGAGGTGGCCTGTTGACAGAATGCCCATAAACTAGCAATGCCCACCTTCTCCTGGGGCAGGGCTGACTGAGGCCAGGTTTGCAGCCTGTGGGAGGGTCTGGTCTGAGCCCTCCCAGCAGGGAAGCATGGTGCCTACTTTGTGGTTTCAGAAGAGAAGCTTCTGTCAGACGGCATGCTGGTAGAGGCCCGGGAAGCCTCAGAGGAAGACCTGCTGGTGGTGCACACGAGACGTTATCTCAACGAGCTGAAGGTACAAGGGCCAGAAGGGCTGCCAGCCAGGAGGAGTGGCCAGGGGAGGGCAGCTCAGCCTGGGAAAGCACAGCCTAAAGGGGCTCAATTCCTGTCCATAGCACAGGGGAAGCATGTGGGTCTGTGGTCCCAAGAAGAGCGAGGTGTCATGAAAAGGCAGACACCAGGGATGGCTAGATTGCTCCAGGGGTTATGAGTTCCCCGTCTCTGGAATTGTGAGAGCAGGGATGTCCACTTGGTGGAGAGTGAAACTTCACAGGGATTGGGGCTTCTATATTAATGATTTTCAATCTGTGCTCTATGAACAGGCTGCAAAGACCTGCTGAGATGATGGACAGGGTAGTCCAAGCCCTGTCCCTATCTAATCCAAGCTGTTCTATTTGGCCTACTTTTATATTGGATTGAAGTTTAAGATTTTGTTCTAAGAACTTGTACTGCTAAAGACTTGTTGAAAACTGTTGCGTTAAAAATGAGTTTGACACTCCCAGGGCCCAACAGGGAACATACCTGGTCATGCAGATGGTGGTGTATGGGTGAACTGGAAGCTGCTGCCCTTCCCTAGTGGGTGGCTGCTACCCAGCCCCACTGTAGGCTCAGCATGGCCAGAGTGCCTGGCTTTGAAGTAAAGCCAGAAATCCAGATTATTGACAGTTCCTGATTTCTTAATGTGTTTACTCATTTAAGATTTTAAAATCCCACCTACAGGCTCTCTGCTCATGACCTCCTTCTAGACTTGGGCCCACAGCTGTCATCAGTGCTGAGGTTCTGAGGTGGAGGCAGTTAGTCAGTCCCCTTTGTGGGAGCAGAGGGGAGGGCTGGGTAAGGGGTCGCATCCAAACTTGTGCTGTTAGCCTGCCCTGGTGGGGTCAGGGATGCAACAGGTTCTCTGCCCCTAGGAGTGTGGGAGCTCTATACACCTGAAACCTATGTAACTTTATTAGCCAATGTCACCCCAATAAATGAAATGAAATGTACTTTTAAAGAAAGATTCATTTTAGACTAAGAGCCATAGTAGAGGTCACCAGGCTTCTCCCCTCCACAGGTGGAAAAGCTTAGGCCCAGAAAGAGGATACACCTTGGCTATGAAGGAAAAAAGAATAGAAGGTCCCTGGATGGAAGTAAGCTCGTTTAGACTGAGCAATCAGGGAGGGCCTCACAGAGGAGGTGAGGTTTGAGCTGAGACTAAATAATGAGTAGGTGACATAGATGGAGCTTTAAAGAAAGAATGCTCCAGAGCCTCAGACTTGGAGTGAGAAGAAGGGACTTGGCCTCCTGCAGCGGAAGAAGTGTGATTGATTAGCTAAGTCGAAGGGACTGAGATAATGAAAAGGCATGTGGTGTGCTCAGGGAGGCCAGCGGCACCAGGCTACACAGGGTTTTGTAGGCTGTGCGAAGAGTTTGGATTCTGTTCCATGTGCGGTAGAAGAGTGATATGGTGTGCTGTGCCCTTCACGCTCAGGTGAGACCCATGTCCACTTCAGGCATTGTCTGGCATCTACGTGTTGCAGCGTAGGAATATCCCATTCACCCTGCAAACGGGGTGCAGTTTTCTCTTGCTGTCTGAGTTACTCCTCCCATTTCCCCTTCTTGGGCTCCTGTATCACACAGTAGCCTGACAGAGTGTTCCTTGTCTCCCTCATCCGGAGCCACCAGTCCTCTTGAGTTCTCTTCTGTCAGGAGTAACTCAGACAGCGAGAGAAAAATGCAGTTTTCTCTTCTCTTTTCTCTGCTGTGGACTTCTGAAGAGTTCATGTAGGTTTCCCAGGGCTGCTCTTCCTTGGCTGTTCTGTGTGTGCAGTGGAACATACACCCTCTCCCCTGCCCCACCTCTACTCCCCCTCCCCCCCTGCCCCATGTTCCGGGGTTTATGCCTGGCCCTGCACTGGTGTAGCCTTTGATACTTAATAAACAGGGCATTGAAGGAGATGCTGTAGTCCGATGTTTGACAGATGATATCCTTTCAGGGAAGCAAATGTCTATTGAGCACCTACTGTGTGCAAGGCCCAGAGGTGGCCCCACTGAGGGTAGTGGTTGGGTTGGGCCAGTGCAGGCTCTTGCCTCCTGCTGACCCCAGTGACAGTGTGCCATGGGATGTGTTATGCAGATTTGATATCTTGTCCTTGCGCATCCCAAACTGGGAAATGCCCAGGACATGTTTATGCAGCAGGTATTTAGTGAGCATCATGCTCTGTTCTAGATGCAGGGAGACAGGATGGAACAAAAGAGACCAGATCTTTTGTTGGAGCTAGCATTTAGATGGAGAGTCAGCTAATGTCATAAAAAATCAAATCAATTATACAGTATCTTAGAAGGTGCTCAGTGCCTTGCGGGGG